CGACCGGAAAACTCCGGATTCATCTGATCAAGGACAAGTAAAGGACAATGGTTAATGTTAAAAATTAGAGTTTTTAAATATTTTATTAAATTATGGACGTTTAGCGAAATAGGAGGAAGATTTAAATTAATTTGAAATCGCGTGAGGTGGCGGTGGAGCCCACCTTACTTAAAGTGGACTTGCCACCTTGGACAACACAAAAGAAATAAGCTTTCTCTCTCCTTCCCCATCCAAGAACCCGCGCCCCCCACCATGGAAGACCAAGTTTTCTTCCAAAACCTCATTCTCTCATAACTCACTCAATAATCACTCAAATCCAACGAAGTTTGTCACCAAAGTTGAAGGAAATCATCATCCAAACATAACCATGGTAGTCTTTAGTCTTGAAACTCACTAAATGGGGAGAAAATAACCATATTCAGTCGCGACTTTGGTGGGAGATTTGGAGTTCTTGAGCTTTGTGTTCAAGCTTTTGATTTGGTATCATTTGGAGGAGTCTTAGGCCAAGCTTGTGGGTAAGTTTCAACACATTTGATTGGTTGAATTAATTGATTCAAATTCTTGAACCCTAGAGCTAAATTGTGTGATTGATGTAGTTAGAGAGCTCAAATTGAAAATGTGTATTAGACAAAAGTGGCTTAGAATGATTTTTTAGAGTGATAGAAACCATAAAAATTATTGAGGAAATTGGTTGATAACTTAGGCAATTTTGAGTTGGGATTTCATGACTTTGTGAAATTGTTATGTTTGATGATTGTGTAATTGAGTTGTGGAGTGTTTGTGTGACTTAATTATAGGATTGTAAGGTGTGTGGAAGTGTTGAATTGGATTGGAAACCCCTTGGTATGCTTGCCCCTAGAATTCAGCCATGATAGGGAATATTGGGTGTGATGATGCAAAATTTGTTTAATGGATGATGTGGGATTAAAAATGGTGTTTAAATGAGTTGTGTGTTGAGTTGATGCATTGGAATTTGAAGGAAAAATACTTGGAGTGTGTGAGTGTGTGCATTCAAACCTTTGAAGGAAATTGGGGAAGATCGGTGCTAGCATGGTTTTAAATTGAATTGAGGACTTGAATTAGTGTTTGGGTAAGCCTACGAAACCATGGGAGCTATGAAAAATATTTAAGAAAATTATTTCATAAATTACGCCTAAATGGGCGAACCTATGCATGTGGGGAGGTTGGAATTTGGTTCTTTGTTTTCTTGTTGGTTGCACCTTGTATTAATGATCCTTGCGAGATCATTGTAGGTTGCCTCCCACAGAAGTGAACTCAGAGCTTTAAGCTTGGTGGGTTGCTTTTGGTCCTTGACCAAAGGGATTTTGGTAAGTGGTCATGATTATATGCATGAATATTTAATGAGCATGTGTATGCTTTTGGTTGATTATAATTGTATTGGAAATGGACTATGTGTAGGCATTTCTTGAAGTACCAAACTTGGGAACATATTTAATTGGAGCTGTCAAGTGAAGGAGATTAATCAGGTAATCCCTTGGTACTGGGGTTTAATCCTCGTGTGTGCTCCACCATGCCTCTGGGAGGTAGTGGTTGGAGGTGTATGTTGGTAATATAATATAACATGATCATTCATATTTGTATGTTTAGTGTTTCATAGGATGTACCGTGTCTCTGGCCAGTAGACTGTTGCCTTCGGGCGTTACGGACTTCCACTGGATAGGTCTCCATGAGGGAGTTTCAGTTGACCTGGGGTCGTGGTGTGTCATCCGTAGAGGAGCTCACTAGGAAGTCTCCGGTGTTTATGGATAGAGGGTGCCTTGCTTGATGTTCTGGAAACATTTCCTTGGATGAGAACCCGTGGGCTATATGCCGAGGCCAATTGACCGGATGTTGCGTGGCTTTAGCATTGACCATTCCAGCTTCATCGTATTTTATTTCCTATGCTCCCCTACTCCACTAAATCCCTTGCTTTATCCCGTTTTGAATGTTGTGGTATGTTATTGGTATGCATCTAAGTGAACCATTGGGCGGAGTAATCTCCGGAACCTCTGTGTAGCAGCAGCGGCACTAGAGCTGCGGGTAAGAGGCCCGTAGGATGAGCTTATGAACATATTGTGTATTTTGTATTTTGGGGTCATTTGGCCTAGGCTAGACTTAAGGAATGAACGTTGTATGTGGGGTTAGGATTATGCATTTTTATCATCGATGTTCATGCCATATTTTGTCTAAGTTTAGTCTATGTTTTACCATGTTTTCATTTGGAGATTTATTTCTATTATGTCTCATTGGAAGAATGTAAATTGTAATTTGTAACATTGAGACCTTGTGTAATATTGATGCATGCAATATTATGAAAGGACAATAGGCCTATTCTAGGATTTGATTTATGTTTTATGTCAAAGAAATGCATGCAAAGGAATTAATGTGATTGAAATGGTTTAAGATTTAATAATGCAATTATTGAATTGTAAAGTAAGCTAAATGATATAAATTGTGAAGGGCTGTAAGAGCACCAAGGCATTGCTAGTCCTCGAGTGTTATCCATTTTTATGAGGTACCATTTGAGGATAGATAACACACTTGTAAAAGTGGGACATGTTGAAAAAACAAAGGAAACTCTGGTGAAATTTTTAGAAATTGACAGATTTTGAGCGAACTTTGGGAGAGCATATCTCCCTCCACAAAAGTCCAATTGGGACGTTCCATACACCATTGTAAATCTTGTGATGTCAAATACTTCGTGTCAAAATTTGAGAACCATAGGAGTAGCAAGCTGCCCTGTAGAAGCCGTGGAACACAGACTGCCCAAAATCTCCTGCACTTGGGGGGTGTCACTGTATGTTTTTCGAAAATTTATTCTCTCTTCGTTTCTTGGTCAAATTAGGTGTATGATATGTCAAATTTAATCTTGAGGTGTCTAGTTTGTTAAATAAAAATGTTAGAGAAATTGGTGGAATGTTTTGTCCGGAATCGTTCAAAGAGTGAGGGCTATTTGGAGCCCTGTTTGAGGTTGGCTGGCAGATTTGCTTGTCCAACTTCAAACGGTGATATCCGGAGCAAAAGAGAACTTTTTGGAGCTTGTGATAGCTTTTTGGAAAGATAATTAAGTGTAGATTAACATACTAAAAGATGAGAGGCGTGCAGCATGCGAATTTTCCACAGTATCCAGGATACCAAACCATGTTCGGATAGGTAGAAAATGTAAAAATGAGATTTAGACTAAGTAAGTTTATGGGAACCACTTAGTGACTCGAGAGAAGTATTATATGATATTTAGGCATTTTATATTATTATTCGTCAATTATTTTCAGTTACGGTCACAACCTTTATTTATTACGCTTTATTATTGTTTTAAATGCTCGCGTAATAAAAAGGAAAAAGTTTACTCGCATTTTTTTAAATGAATCGCTGTGATTGTAACTGCGCTTAATATCATAATCAATGTTAACAATACCGGTGCACAACGGGTTGTTACATTTGCCACCTCCATAAGTCATTGTATGGTCTTCGCCAGGCATCACGACAATGGTTTGCAAAGTTTTCTAACACATTGATCTCACTTGGTTTTGTTCAGTCACAGTCTGACCATTCTTTATTTGTGCGTTCTTCTGGATCACGTTTCATTGTTGTCTTAGTATATGTTGACGATATAATTGTTGCTTCTAACAATTCTCTTGAAGTACAACTTCTTATTGATGAGTTCACAGTAAATTCAAGCTCAAGAATCTTGGTCCTTTAAAATATTTCCTTGGACTTGAGGTAGCTCGTTCTGCCAAATGTATCTCTGTTTGCCAGCATCATTATGCCTTGGATATTCTTAAAGATTTTGGACTTTCTGGTTGTAAACCCCGTAGTATTCCTTTTGAAATTGGACTTAAGCTTTCTGCTTCCAAGGGAGATCTCCTCCCTGGTCCTTCTATGTACCGTCGCTTAATTGGCCGTTTAATATACTTGACATTACAAGACCAGATATCTACCACAGTGTTAATTTTCTCAGCCAATTCATGGCTGCTCCAAGGTTTCCTCATCTTGAAGCAGCCCATAAATTACTTGGTTATATTAAGCACACTGTTGGTCAAGGAATTTTTTATTCTTCCTCTTCTACTGTTCAGCTTAATGCTTTTTGTGACTCTGATTGGGCTTCTTGTGTTGATAGTCACGGGTCCATTTTCGGGTTCTGTGTGTTCATTGGGGATTCCATTATATCTTGGAAGTCCAAGAAACAGAACATTGTTTCCAGGTCAACCACTGAAGCTGAGTATAGGTCTATGGCTCTTGTGACATGCGAGTTACTGTGGTTGTTTTCTCTTTTAAAGGATCTCAAGGTTTTGCATTCTGGTCCTGCTCATCTTTTCTGTGACAATCAGTCTACTCTTCATCTGGCTGCTAACCCTGTTTTTCATGAGCACACTAAACATATAGAGATAGATTGCCATTTGTCCGTGAGCATATTCTCAACGGAAATTTGAAGACTTTTCGTGTTCCTTCATCAAAGCAACTATTAGATATTCTTACTAAGCCTCTGCTTCCTTCCAAGTTTTCAGTTCTGATATCCAAGATGGGAATTCTGAATTTATACTCTCCATCTTGAGGGGGCCTATTAGCATTTTATATTTTATATTTTTAGATTTTGTTATTTCTCCTTTTTGTTGTAACCGTTTCTAGAAGCTGGGTTGTATTTTTTGTGCTGATGATGCTGATCTGGCACTTTTCTGTTATGCCATCACTCATTGGCATTTTCCTTTATATAGTTTTTGTATTCTCTGCTTTTTGGCAAGTTAATGGAATATACAGTTTCACATTCTTCATGCTTTACTTTTCTGAGTTTCTTTTCTAATATATGTATCGATAAGTTGGAGTCAAGAGAGAAGTACGTCAGTTTATTTCGTAACAGTAAATTCATCAAGTTGAGTATGTAATTGATGAATGAGTATTGTGATGATGAAATACAATAGAGTTGTTATATGCATAATTAAGCGGTTCTGAATTATTGAATGGTATCGTAATTGTTCCCTGGATTGTGGGTTGAAATACCACGGTGATCGCACAGGTGCCATCATATATCAACAATTAAAATCTGACAATTACAAAGCAAAGCCTTTAAAGACCACAATAAACTCCATGCCATTGGCAAATATGATGAAAAATGAAAGAAACCCAGTTTTGGAATTTCAATGCACACATCCAGAAACAGAGACCAAAAGATAAACTTCATGAGCTGAGTATATTTTTCATTACAAATATTTGACCAACAGCCATATGACAACCACCAAAATCACTATACCAACCACTGATAAAAGCATGCACAAGCAGGAGCAACCACCCTTGGTTCGCTTGTTTAAAACTGCCAAGTTCTTCTGCACTCGCTGTTTTCACAACAGAAAAAGAAAAGGTTAAGTTGCAAGCAACGTCTACAACATTAACAATCTCAATTCAAGAGTTGAAATAAGGGAAAAAATTAACAACTTCATTGCCTCAAAAATTATGCTTCGGAAGGATTCGAAGCCAAATTGTTGGCATATTAATAAATGTTCTCTTGCAAGGTCAAGCACACACATTCAACAATTTATTTTCTTCTAGTTTTGCTTTATCTGTCAACCATAAAATTGAAACTATCCCATAGAATGTTTATCCTAGACAAAGGAAATGTATGATATGATAGCAGTAAATTTCCTTAAAGTTGTTATACAGAACATATATTATTTACTAATTAAAAAAAATGGTGTAACATCATGAACATAAATCCCCACAGGCCCATGTCAGATAAAACATAAAATAATGTAAGTACACTTTATCCCAAATAAATATATCTCTATTCCAAAATACAGTACCAAATCAAAGACTAGCTAAACCAAGAATTTATATATCTACTAGAGATGTTAAATTGGTGTACTTTCAACATCTTAATTTATGGATAATAAACCTATTAAAATTAAGGAATTTATCAACTGAAAAAATAAAAAATAAAATAACATTATGGGATTCAAAGAGGATATTGCATGACAACAGTCAAACACTAATTGAGCATATTGTTACCCTCAGCCGAGAATCTGTAACATCTACATGTTGGTCCAAGTCATCCTAGCAGAAAAAAAGAGAAAAGATTCAATTTTAAAAAGGAGAGAACAAAATGGAACATAAGAAATGAGAAGAGAAATTAACATAGGAGGGGAACATACAATGAGTCTAGTGTGTAGATCCAGCTCTTCATTCACTGCCAATGCAATATGTTTCGTACTTATTACGGTGTCCTCCAATTTCTCAAGGCCCTGGTCTTGCTCTGCTCAAATAGCACTCTCCCAAATCAAGATCCAAAGCATAGACTACAGTAATATTTTTCAATTTTCAAACAATTCCAATTAAGTTACCTTTCATAATTTGCCGTTGAAGACCGACAAGTCCATTGTTGTCCAGGCCAACAGTTCTGCTCATTGCATCTGGTTGTATTTCTGGCCCAAGCAAACTATCCCTATTTGCAAAATTTGACATGTTCAATGTTGAAGCCATTTGGTTAACTTTCGACCTCAAATTTGCAACCATGTCCTTTCGACGATTCATCTCCTTCTCAGTCCTGAGCATTATTGAAAAAGAAACTTCAGATAACCATAGTGCAACTTCATCATACCCTTGCACAGCTGAAAAGAAGACAATGACTCTTATATTGATAACATATATTTCCTTATCACTATTTCCAGATGTTTTATATTATGCTGCTAAGGAAATCCTGAGAAAGAGATAGTTAAGATCAGGAGAATTCTTCAAAACATTTATTTCAAGATAAAATAAAAGAATTAGATGAATACAGGACATAGTGTTCCAGCTCCTAGTTGCTCTGCTGTAATAGCATGACCTTTTCTTAATCAGCATAAACAAGAGCTTAACACTCACTTCGCAGGGAGTCTTGACGAAGTGGATTGCAAGCTATCAAGTCTGGTCCCTAATATTGTGATCTTTCTTCTTATAGCAGCTGTATGACGCTGGGTTTCTGGTCCAGATGCTGGCAATGAGCTCCGCTCAGAAATCATGCCACTGATATCATCAGTGAGTTTCACTGCTTCATTATATTCCTTTATCCATGAGTCTGAAGAAGATGCCATTGGCCTAAAAATATGAACAAAGAAAGACTAATCAGTGAGAGAGCCAAAGTATGGTGATTTTATAGAAGAATGATCAAATAGAAATTCTACTTATTACATTTCACATAAAATGATAACAAGAATAAAACAGGAAATAAAAGATTCCCTATAATCAATAATCTAGGAGGTCGAGAAATCTGCAAACAGTATCCAACATGATAGAACTTCTCTAGCCCTCGTGATTAACAAAAGATAAATTCTACAGGGTTAGAAAGACTCAAAAAACTAAGTTATTTTCATCAATGATAAAAGCATTACATTCTCCCACTTACGATAATTTAACATCCACAGCTTGCTACCTACTCAGCTGCCTGAGAACAAGCACTTACTGGCACATAATAATGCAATCAATGTTATGATGATAATAATACTAAAAAAATATGACACAGTGGTATTTTACATTATTAAAGCCATATGCTAGACTCTGACTCTGACTCTAACATACAGCATTGGCCACTGTGAAAGTAAATTTGCATAGTTTTAATATGCTCAACTTTATGAATTTACTCCATCCTCCCCTAATAAGAGTGAAACATCAGTTTACCAACAGAAAAAGAAAACTTAAAGAGTCTCATATTCAAATGCAGAAAACTTAATGCATCAACAATTATCAGCTTGACCTAATGTTCTCTTTGCTTTAGAGTCTTATACAGCATGCCAGAAACTATAAATTACAGCTTTGGGCCCAACTGAGTTCCATAACATATTTGAAAATTAAAAAGGTTTTCCCACTCAAACGAGAAAATCATATGGTCAGCTAATGTTTTGAAAAAAAATATCACAATCTATGCGTAGCAATATTGATCTATAAAGACTGAGAAGATCTATTTTTGATTTTAATTTTAATTTTAAAGAAACTTATTAAGAGAGAATAAAATTACACAGTCCTTTAAGCTTTTCATGATCACAGAGGGAAAACAATGTAAAATTACAAAATTCACACCCATCATGGGTTGCCCAGAAAATCAAACTCCTTTGACAAAAAAATCAGCCACAAAATTAACAATTCTCAGAAAACAATAACTACAACAACACAAAGTTCAAAATCAGGCGGAAAAAAAAAAGAAACACGTAATTCGGAGGAATTAAAGTTCACCCAGCAGCTCCAGAATTGCAATCCAGAAGAGAATTAAACCTTACATGCTAATTTGGAGAAACTAAAATTTTCTGAATTAGGGTTTCGGAATTGAGATGGTTGAGGGGGTTTCGATGAGGGCGATCTATACGATACGACGTCTGTGTGGAGCGTAGCGTAACGGCGGCAACACCAACCGGCACCGTTTGTTTGCGAAAGCTGAATGGCACGGAAAAGGTCGTTCAACGCAGCGTCGTTTTTGCTGTCCCTTGCGCTACGCGGGTTTCTGTTTATATCTCTGACTGTTGGAAGGTGTGAGACTTTGAACCGTGTTAATGGGCGAACTCGAGCGGGTTTTCGTCTTAAAAGATTAAATTTGTGTTTAGATTTATCACTTTGACTTATTTTTTATGAAATAATTATCGGTTCGTGCCTGATTTATTTATAAAACATAAAAATTTGATTTAGTCTAGTAGCCTGTTTAAAAAAAAAGACAATAAAAAATATATATAATCCAGATTCATAAATTCAATGTATATCAAAAAACATAATACATAACAAAATCATTCAAAAAATATGTTTAATCCATAAAATGGGGAGAAATGGGTTGAAGAGAAAGAGGGGGAGGGCTATTATGAAAAATATACAAATATATAAAATAAAAATAAAAGTTAATATATCAGGCCAGCCTAAGAGGCTCTAAGGTCTTTTGAATTGAAGCCTGAGACTTTTTTATTAAACGAGTTTTTATATAAGTTCAATCCTAGTTCTAACAATCAATTTTAGACATGTAAGTCTAGCCTTTACTAGCTGAGCCAAAAGCCCCTGGTTCGTTTAGTACCCCTACTTACAATCTATTTTCGTTTATAATCTCTTATAATCATATCTTAAATGTTGATTTCTGTCGATCAACCATTATTATTTTCACAAATCAAATTCATTAATTAATTATTAATTCACAATAAATAATAACTATTAATTGAAGGAAATTAATGCTTAAAATATAGTTGTAAGAGGTTGTAAATAAAATAGGTTGTCAGTATAATCTTCTACAAATTTTTTATTTTAGCAATTTCGACCATAACTTTTTTTTTTTTTTTTGCACGTGACATTCGTTGAAACACTTTCATCTATTAACCAATTGATATTTTGTTCAAATTCTTTTAGTTGTACAATATTAAGTGTATAACTAACTAGTAATTTAAATAAATTTTATACCTGTCGATACTCAAATGATCTAAAAACTTCTGAAATTGGTACTACATTTTTGGGCTGATCCATTATAAGTTTAAATCCAATAAGATAAATAATATATAAATAACAAAAGTAACGGTTAAAAATAAAAAATTTCACACTCCTTAACACACTTATCTTAATAGAATTATTTCACATTAATTGTGGGAATTGAAAAGAATCCTAAGACCATTTATTTTACTCCTATATTAAATAATAATAAATGTTAACAATTCAAATTCTAATATTTAGAAGAATATTAGGAAATTAATATAAATATTTACAAATAAAAAAAGGATAAAAGCAAAACTAAAAGAGATGCACAAGCAAAATGGAAGTTTGGACTAAAATATTTGTAAAACAAAAATAAAGGTAAAATTTGTAAAACATTACAATTTGGCTCAAACAAATATGAGGTCAAAGTCACGTAATATTTAAAAAAAATAAATAAATGAGTTATTGATTCTAGTTACAAAATAAGAGCAAAAAAATATGTTATTTTATCCATTTTAATTATTTTATATTCATTTTTTATACTATTATTGGTTCATCATTTGTTTAACTAATTCGATTTTAGTTGAATAGAATTACATGGACAAAAATTTCTTCACTACTTTATCGATTACTTAACTAATCCGATTAAGAGCATCAAGACCACGAAGGTGTGAAAACTTTTTCTATCAAACTTTTTATTAAACCATTGGTTAAGGTGGAATAATATCATACTAGATCCACGTGGTGGTATTATTTTTAAGAGTAAATATCATTTACGGTCCTCAACAACTTTTACGATGCCCGCTTTAGTCCCTAGCAAATAAAAAGGTTATTCGTGGTCCCTAAAAAATTCAAAATGGAATCAATTTAGTCCTTTTGGGGGACTAATATGGGTTTTTTTTGAATTTGTGACAGACAACGATTTCAACTAAATAGATCCATTTTGAATTTCTTAGGGACCACGAATAACCTTTTTATTTGCTAGGGGCTACCCCAATGCTTGACCCAAAGAAAGTATCCGAATACTATCACTACAGTATCTGAATATCACCAGTATCTGAATACTTACACTACAGTATCCGAATACCACCCGTATCCAAATACTTACACTAAGGTATCCGAATACTTTTCTTCCCATAAAAGTATCCCAATACTCCTTGATGAGTATTCGACTACCTGCTGATGAGTATTCGAATACTACTCGTGAAGTATTCGAATACTTATTAGACAGAATGCAGAAACTCGTGTAGTTTTCTGCATAATTCCCATTTTAAGGGTCCAAACATGTTTTGGAGTCCAATAACTCCACAAACAGAAGTTCATTACTATATTTTAATCACAGATTATCAACCTTTAACTTGAATGATCAAAGTTCCCTCTTTTAACGACACAAACAAGCTAAAACCATGAATTTTCAAAAGGGATGTTCCTGAGATACCTCAAGCTTTACAAACTCAGAAAAAGGGAGGTGGCTTGGAGCCTCCAACACAGCTCCACCACACTTACTTCACAAGGCCACAAATTAGACACACAAGTTTGGTCCTTTATACCAAAAGGTGGCTTCTTGGAGCCTCCAATGACATGAAAATGGCTCTCACCCTCACAACCAAAATGAACAACAACACCACACCACCAACAGAGGCTGACCCTCAGAAATGAAGCACCTAGCCCCCTCACAATGCTAATTACTCAGTGTTTATATGATCAAAGAGGAAGAATCAATGTAAAATGTGTGTTCTTGGTCCATTCCCATGCATAAAGGTCAAGACTTCAAGAGGAGAAGAAGGTTCAGAAACAAGGCAACAAGGAGCCTCTACGTAGAGAATGAAATCAGACCTAGGGCTTTGTGCCCATTAGTATTTATAGGTCCACTTAATTAATCTGTCGGTATTAGTTCTAATAGCTCCGCTAACCATTTTAATCTCAAACTTAATATTCTGAACCTAGCAATTTTTCTAGGATTTGTCATATTTTTATTATAATTTTTGCAACACTTTGCCGGTACGCGCTTTTACGTAACCGGTATCAGTCCTGACGCCAATTCTCATTATTTTGACTCCAAACTTGTTATACCAGTCCTACATATTATTCTAGGAATATTCACATACTTATTATAATTTTTCGGGATACTTCATTGGTACGCACTTATACTGCGAAGCAGAACCGATGTAACATCCCGCGAAATTAGGAAATTAATAACTTGCAATTAGGGGTGTGTAGCATGCTTGAAACTGGAATTAAATTTGTGTTTAGAGTGGAATTAATTTAATTAGGAAAATTATTCTAATGGGAATTATAAGTGAATACTTATGTATTTTAAGAATTCAAAACACTAGTTAAAAAGAGATAGAATTACAATTAATTATAATTTAGGTAGGAATCCTAATTCCTATCTAGTGGGAACATGAAATAATAATTAATATATATATATATATATATATATATATATAATTCATGTGCTAGGTGAACCATTAGGAAGTTAATTTTAAGTGCCACCTACAATGAAATCCTAGTTAATATTTGGTAAATTACATGAAACAATATGACCTAGTTGATTAGGGTCCAACTAGCCCAAGAGGGCGAGCCCAAGCCCTTGGAGAACTAAGTTCAGCCTAACTTTCATTAAACATCATCCCTAATTGCCCAAGTGTAATCTGCCTGCATGAAATCTTATTGGTCAAAGGCAAACCTCATCCATCTTATCCATTCCCTTGTGCGCATGGCCTTGAGGAAAACACAATTCCGTTTGTTGCACATCCCTGTTTCAGAACCAAATGCAGTCTCACTCCCTTCCTATGCATTGAATGGTTAAAACAAGACAGAATACGTATTACTTCCATTCCTTGAATAAACTCAGCCCCTAATTTCCCTTCACAAGTCGTGAATCACCAAGGGAAAACAACCAAAAAAGTTGCATGTTCCTTTCCTTCTTTGTCCCCTCAACACCGTGAGCTATGGGAGAAGAGAACCACCATTCAAGTTCCTTCCTTCTCTTCTTAATGGATTCGGCCAAGAGAACTGACCAAAGGGACTACAACATGAACTCATTTTTTTTCTTCTCCCTCTTTGTTCGGCAGTATACATCCTTCAAGGAGGTGAGATGTTTCTTTTTGTCGTTTTCTTGTTCCCTTCTCTTTGGACCGATTTCTGAATAAACTTCCCCTTTGTTGGAACATGACTCTGTTTTGATGGAGTCACACCACCCTTGCACGCAGCTGGTTTAGATTGGAGAGTGAGTGAGCTATTCCTTATTCTGTTCAGTTTTAATTCTTAGGCATGGGTAGAGGCGAAGGGATGCCCATGGATTTGATGGCTGTTTCTGAAATCAAATTGTGAGGATTGAGTTACATGCGAAAAGGTACAACCAAGCAATAAGTTATTTCTTTTCTTTCACTATAGGGGTGTCTTAAGGGAATAAGTTTCTTTGTTAATCATTTCTCATTGCTGTTTAGATGTAAGAACCTTGACTATTGATGTATGCATACTTACAGAATTTGACTTAGAGGCTTGGGAAATAACTGACCTTTATTTATAGTGCTACGCCTATATGAAAGGTTACATGTGTTTGATTTGTTGGAAGTAGCATGTTTTAATTATGTGTGAATAGTCTTGAAATTGGTATTTGTAAAACGGAATTAATATTTTATGCACTTGGAAAAATAATCCCTTACTGCTGTTAAACCGGTTCTTAGGTATAAAATTTGGTTAAGCTTTGCTTGTATTAAAAACTATATATATAGCTTGTTCATGACTTTGTTCACTAAATCGTAGGACTTATAGAAAGATGTAACTGTTGTCATTTCTTCTTCCTTGGGGCTGTTCAGCCATACAGCCATGCTTTTGGTGCATGTGAGTTGTGACAACTAATTTGTGAGCTTGTAGTGTGGTTCACATTGAAGTTGGAACTGCCTTTAAGTTAGAAAAATAAATATATAACAATGTATGTGCAAAAATAGAAGAGGGCAACATGTTAAAGGTTCTATTGATCATGCCTAGGTGATGTAGGTGATTTATGTTGAAGAAAAAGAAATAGAATTGCCATAGGGGGATAGCCTTAAAAACCGATTCTATTTGTATAACTGAAAACTTGGAAAA